GCGACTGCGGACGGGTGTAGACTTTACGCAGAACAAAGTTTATATAACTCCGCGGCGCGGTTGATATCGCGGTAACCGCTATCGTATCGGGACGAGAAAAAATCCTATAACTAGACCATGAAGATGGTCACTGACCAACGGCTGCGAACGAATAAAGTCATCGTCGTCGGGTCGATTTATCACGAGAATTACGAGACTTTCAAGGACAAGATTATCTGTCACAATGTGCCTCGAAACCTGAACACGGTTGTCGAAAGGTCGATCGTGAAATCTTTCGAGGCGATCGAACGGGAAAGTAAACCAGCATTTGAGGAAATAAACGTTTCAACTTAACTAGCAAAAAGTCGTCCTATTTATAAATGAATGTTTCCTACAATTATCGGCTTTCGTATCTTACCGATCGTTGGAAGAATTTCGAAGACAGTTGTACCCAATTAAGATTCTTTAATTAGAAAAGACATTTGAAAAATAAATTCGTCCGTTGCGCGAGTTTAAATTTCAAAATGGCCGAGGAACAACATCGATCGAGATCCCGAAACTTCGCGACGGACCGTTAGCGTTCCCCGGGTTCCTCGTTGGTTTTATTATGAAAGCTGCATATCGTAGGTCCGATCGATCAAGATGGAAGGCATATGATACGGCAAGGAACGGAAAAGCGCAATACGAAGACAGAAATATCGCAAGGTATCGAACACGAAATCAACACGATGCATTCCGCCGGGTTAAAAACATCGATCGGCGTCTTTATCGTCATGGCAACGTCTGCACTTGTACAATTGCGCCTGTGTGTATGTAAGTACGTCGCGCGCCGACTTGCGCCTCTATACATACGGCACACAATATCGTCGGCATGCGCGCCCCCACGCACTCCGTCCTACACACACGTGTGCATATACGTAAAGAAGAAGACTCTTCGCCGATTACATGTGTGCCCGTACATACCTCTTCTTTATTCGTTATCCTACTCTATCTTCCTTGCTCTATTCTTATCGTAGCACGCTAAGAATGCATTTTCACGGTTTCACCAACACGCACTTTCCGTGTGACGCACGTGGCGGAACAGAAATCACCTAGCCGAAATAGTTTTTCTCCTGGCGGGGAAATGGTTTACGCTCGATTAATTGCCGATACGGGATCGAAGCGATTTATCGATTTCCGTGATTGCAAACTTATCGCATAGTATCGTTTCGATTAATCGCGGCGTGACCACCGGCCGCCGCATAACCCACACCGGTATGAATTACACCTGAAAGAGAACTAGTCCGCACGATTCCGCGAAAAGTGAAAGCAATCATTTAATCGTACGGTGTATATTGATACGCATCGTGTTTAACGAGCAGAAATGGCGTTATTAATATTGGGAACGCGGTAAACACGAGCGTGTCATGCGGTCGTGTAAGTAAATACGGCCGTGTGCGTGCGTTCGTTGCCTGATCGGTTAACGCTGCGTTTCTATAGAATAGATAGTTTATGCCTAGAGCTTTCCAGAAAAAAAATCGTGTAATGATGTAATGGGTGATAAAACAATGTTTTCGATAATACACTGCGCCTGTTCTTTTCTGTTTTTTTAATAAAATGTAGTTATTTAGCGCAAGTAAAGTAGCATGTCGACCGATTTAATATATAGAATCGATAAGACTGTACGAAGAAAAAATCGATTTGAATTTGAATTGATCTCGCGCGACAGAATCTACGCAGTTAATATGAAAAGGCCAACGCCGGACAATTTATGTGATAACTCGGGAATGAAGGGATAGTGTTTTATCCAGGCGGGTAGAAAATAACCATGGGCAAGAGATATCGGTGACGTTTCAGCATCAACAACACCGCCTGTCAAATGAAGGGACGAAGTTCAAATTCATTGATAATCGCGGCCACGTTCCGTGTATCGCCAACATTAACGCGGGTTTGAACAAGATTTGTTATCGTGTACGTTAATTTAAACAGGTCGAACGTAACTAGGAAATGACAGCCATCTGTGAAGCGTTAGAAAAAATTATGTTTCATGTTTACCAAGCGTATGCGTGAAATGCATTTGTGTATGGGAGATCCATACGGCGTCCATATTGAAAACAGCATAACCTCAATATTTACATCTTTATAGCAAGCGTTTTTACCCAATAATATTATTCAAAACTCAATGACACGATTGAACCAATTATCATGGAATACCGGTTATTGTCTTGTATCAATAAACTGTGCGAGAAAGTTTGCCTGGGTGTGCACGTTATTGTATATAACCTTGATATCCAACTTCACTGTAATCACGCATTCTTTGACTCGATTTTGAGAAGAATACGCGCGTCTGATCGTTTCCATTCCGAGACATGTTTATCTTCGCTGTTGCTGTCGTTTTGATATCATTTGGAGAAACTTTTCGTCGAACAGTAACGTCGTAACGGAGCGATATTCGAATCGAATACACTTGTCTCATTTAGGGTCATATTTACTGTCGTTGTCCAGTGGATTGCGTTAAAGAGCACGTAATTAATTTAAGCTCACAGTTCAGTTATGTTATGTTGATACCATGAAAAAACATTAGGAGGGCCGTGAACGCAGCAGGGCTATCTCGTCGACTGGCAGGCGAACCATTTCGCAAATTTCCTGGCGTACCAGTCTATCCACTTACCGGCCGTGGCTTTGGTGTTTTTCCCATGATGCCTCCTGTTCTTCTTCTCCGATAATCGGCCCTTCAGTAACATCGTACACGCACTTTATCACGATTTTTCTCACTCGTCTTACACTGGCTACGCATTATTATTCACCCGCACGGTAGCCATTTGCCCTCTACCTACTCGACTATAAAGCCAATCTCGTCGTTTCGTTTAGCCTTTGGCTTTCGGCCATTCAACAGCCTTTGACGTCACGTCGATCACGGTGCCGTATCTAGGCAAGTCTCGGATTTATACCAGTTTGTTTAAAAATCAATCGACGAAAGCTACATTCTGCCAACGAAATTCTACCTGGAAATCCCTTTCGACGAGATTACGTATATGTAGACTCTTTACCTGAAACGTAAAATGCCTTTAAATAGTTGTTGTGCACATTTACACGTTTTTTCGTGATGCACAGGGTTCTACGTCCTCTAAAAAAACAGAGGGGCACTGGCAGATTTCGAAACAATCTGTTTTACCGACGTACGGTTAACATTTTAGTTGGGAATCTGAAATGTTTAGTACTTAAGTAATAGCGCCAAAATTCGTGACTGTAAAATTCAGAATGGAAAAACGTACAGTTCCGTGGCGGATTATGATCTAAAATCTTTCTACGACTTGAGGGGGTGAGAGAAAAAAAAGACTATTATAAATGCGTGTAGGTACGGCCTTTTACTTCACACAATCATGTTCTCTTTCGAACACACAATAATATCCCCAACCGAAGGTTAAACAAAAGAATATCGAAGGCAGCCAATGTATCGTTGAGGAATTGGTTTCTCGCGATTCTCTTGTCAGTACGAATACATTTTGCGATAAGTTCCCGTTTGCGTGTCGATTTTGCTTCCGTCGCTTCACGATAAGACAATACCAAAGCTCACAAGAAACCATACGTACATTTGTAATAACCATATCATATCTATATATATATGTATATATATATACCATCGTGTATAAATCTATATATATATTTATATATATATATATTATAACGTAAGTCGAAAAGGACAATCGTATTCAACATACATACGTCGGGCATCTATATAATAATCGGTGCGAGTTACATTTTGCAAAAAGATCACAACAATTATGCAAAAATAGACGTTATTCGTCGCCCGTCGTAACCGCGAGACAAAAACGAGGGTCACTCGTCTCTTTTTTCTCTTCCCCTCTTTTTTTCCTTTCTGTCCTCGACATTTCGACAGACGACGAATTAACCGCAACACTCGGCAATATAGGTTACAGTTTGCATATTCGTCGACGTAAGAGTTCTAATGTTTCTCCATATTTTTTCGTTTTTCGATCTCCTTTTCGATCAATTAATTTGTTACATTTCTTTTTCCCTCTTGTTTCGTTCTTTTCCATCTCGCGTTAGCACTTCTGCAAATAGCCCCTTTTGTAAAAATTTTCTGTATAGTTATTCGATATCTAGATCGTAGGGTATCGGTTGCAATATCACTGCGGCAAGTTGCTCTCCCTATGCGCCACTGTTTTTCTCGTTTTCCTTTTCGCAACGATACCATGACCAGAGCTAAAATTTTCCTCTCGGTTATGCCGTTACCCCCTTTATTAATATACATATTGCATTACATACGATGCACATGTATACATATGTACGAAATATCTATGAAGGCCGAGGAATCGTCAGCTGCGTGTGTCGTGTTGCAAGAAAAGGGGGAACACCCGACGAAAACTTTGCTCCAGTACGGTCGTTCGATTATTCCTTCGTCCCTTTCGCTTTCTCTCTTTCTCTCTCTCCCTTTCTTTCTCTCTCTTTTTCTATAAATATGTACTTCCAGCGATGATGTATAGTACGAATGTAATTAAGGCCCCTAGCCACGGTATCCATACGTGCATAGAGGAATCAAATATGTCTCTCTCTCTCTCTCCCCTCAATCTCTCTCTCACACTCTCACTTAAACACTACACATTTTGACAAATAATTAAGTCATCACAGAAGCATCATATTATCATATTCAATTAGACTACATATCTTGTGAATGTTCTTGTTTTCAGTTTAGCGCAGTAATATTACAATGATCGAGTACAAAATGATTTTTAAAGTTTTCAAGCCTAGTATAAAGCACTATCATATAATATTATAAGTGTGCTTACATGTCGGGCACATA